TTTTTTTTTTTTTTTTTAAACAATTGCACCATTAGGACCCCCGTAATTTTACGTAATAACTGACACTTTATATAGTAATGCGCGTGGTGATTCGATACTTTGTACAATTCACATCCGAGGAGGAGACGCACGGATTTATGCATAACGTATATGAACATATGATAGACACACTTGTACGATTGATGCATACACGTAAATTTCTATTGTATAAAGTTCCTTGCGCATTACATGTAAACGTCATGTATGTTCCTTATTATATCTTTAATATACGATGACATTGTTCCTATTTTTGTATCGCTCATTGTGATTCGTTATGTTCCCTTCTAACAATGTCGAGATGATTTTCAAAAGAGATTTTCCTCCGGAATCGGTCCTACTACTATTGCGATCTTTTTTAAATCATCGATATAGAGCCAATTCGACGATCAATGTGCTCTTCGGATCTGCGATTCGCCCCGTGAACCTTTTCCAGATGCGACCATTCGTTATCGCGAATATGATGTGCGGTTAACGATATATTTCGCGAGAACTGTCTATGAGCAGTCGCAATTTTGAATATTGAAAAGAATCTAATGCAAGGAAAAAAATCTTCGTACGTGTAACTAAATTTCTGTTGTCCAGGGGCTCTAGACGAAAAGTTGGTTGTAGGAATAGAAAAATTCTCTTTTCTCTCTGTCACAGTCAATTTTTTTTAATTCAATAGAATTTTAACACAGACAAATGTATAGACGTGCATTCTCGGACGCGTTGACAGAGACATCGTTTCTCATCAAGTGAGTTTTCGTCTGGTTCCACTGTTCCATTACACGGACCGAAACTTTTTTTCTCGTGCACCTTCAAAATTGATCTCGCGCGAAATCGCTACGTAGCGATCAATCTCGCGAAAACGTTCACGTCGACGAGATCCGAAGTCACGCGCATTACTGTGCGTTGAAATGTAAGAAAGGAACATCGTTCTAGTTGTATAATCGTCATACATCACACGAACTACCATTCGTTGGCGCGTTCTCCCGTATGACTAACGTCAACACGTGAGCGCGACGTTGGTACGAGCTCTGCTTCGATTTCGGAATTCAGGCTCCTCGAATATTACGTACACGCAGGCACACACGTACACATTCATCGGCCACATACATATGGGACCCGCGCACACGCAATTTGGTTGGTCGCAAATCGCGCCGTTCGCACAAAACCACTCCGTGCTGGTATCCGCAAAGTGGACTCGGACGTCGTTCGCGCCGTGGCGTTTTCCACATCGGGTCGTTAACCGATTAACGCGAGTCCGCGCTCCGGAGCACCGGAGAAGAAGAAGAGGAAGAAGAAGAAGCAGAAGTTTCCACTTTCAATTTCCGCTGTACCGCGAAGTCGAGGGCCAAATTACGTTCCACAAGGGGACTTGAACTGTAGCTTAGAGAGCGCATTATGAGAACGAATGTATCACGCCCACGGGACCTTCGAATCGGACCATTCTCAAGCGGGCGGATCAAAAAAAGGAAAGTTCGTCCATTCGCTCGTCGGAGTTTACATGGAGGAGGAGGAGGAGGAGGAGGAGGACGAGTACGAGAGAGAGAAAGAAGGAAAAAGGACGAAATATATGCGTCGGCATTTCGTCACGTCCATGAATTCCGCGTTCTCCGGAGCGAAAGCATATCACGCGGAGCGGCGGGAATGCAGTTTTAATAAGCATGTACAAAGCTCATCACACGTATGCACATCACGATACACGCGCGAGTACCATTCGTCTACTTTCTTTGTCTCTCTCTCTCTCTTTCTCTCTCTTTCTTCTTCTCTCTTTCTCTCTGTCTTCTTTCTCTCCGATAATGAGGAACAGCGATCGCGCGAGACATTATCGTTATTGTTCTCTCATTCGCTCGCGCCGATTATCAGCGTAAACCTCTTCTCGCGCGACGCTCGCGTCGACATTCTTTCCCTTTTCGATCGTGTGACGAAGAAACGACGATACACGCGAGAGCGAACGTAGAGATGTGCACACACCGGGAGAGCGAGAGATACGAGTAATCGCGCACATAACTTGATGGAGAGAAAAAGGGGACATGCGCGCGCTCGAATTCACACGTACACGCGCACATATTATACATACACACACATACGCCAGATTCATACACAAATCATGAGTTAGTTAGATAAGTCACGCGTGAAGCCAGTACAGTCCCACGGCGTGAGAGTGTGAGAGAAAGTAAAAGAAAAAGGATATTTCATAAAATACATTTTGTGCGTGCGTGCGGAGAGAGAATGAGAGGGGAAGTTGAGCAACGTCGAAAAAGGAGAAAGAGAGAAAGAGAATGAAAGTGAGAGTTTGCGTTTGTGCGCGTGAGTGTGGTATATGTGTGTGTGCGCGCGCGAGAGAGAAAGAGAGTATGGTGGTAATGAATGTGTATGACTTCGACACCAGTGCGAACGAGGCGCAGTGGGTAGGATAAATGATTTATTGAAAAAATGTTGTATATTATTACGAATTATAATGATAATATTATAATTAATTAATTAATTAATTAATTATTATACCCTAATGATAATGTGAAATGAATTTAAACGACAAAAAATACACGAAATGATAAGTAATAGGCGAACAAATTTTTAATTGTTAGCGAAGCACACACGGAGCCGTTTAATTAACACACGCTACAGCCTAGGCCGAAAACTCGAGGATACATTAACAACGGCGCCGATCCGTCGACCCGTCGAACGAAGTCTTAGCGAAGTATGCGTACGTGGCAAAGTAACGCACGAGCGTGCGTGTGCGCGCGCGGAGGCGAACGTCGTAGAATTTAAAATCCTCGCCGGGAGAAAGTGCATCGCCCAGCCTCGAGCGACATGACTCGTCCTCCGTATAAGGAAAGGACGACGTATTCTCTCTCAACGATCCTCTTCGCGCGGTAAAACGTAACCGTAGCGTGCTTCGCGAAGCGAAGTCTCGACATTCCATAGTATCGAGCTAGTCACATTCGCAGGCAGGGAAGCTGTGCACGATCGTAGTAGCGTCAGCTACACGCGAATTTACGGCCCGGCTTTAACCGCGTTATTTTCATTGGACCCTTCGCTTCTTTCTATTCTTCGGAAAGAGGCGGAGGATCTCAAGTCAAGCTCGAGTCAACTAAGCTCAAACGTCGGCTGAGACCGGTCCGTGGACTTTGGAACAGACTGATTAAGTTTTAGCGACATCGTTAGATACGTTCGTTCGTTCGTTAGATATTTTATACTCGTTAGAGAGATGTATATATATATTTTTTCTTTCGGAAAGTACACAAATCGTTCCCCCGGAGTGTATGTCAATGGGAACGTCCACAGCAGTACGAATCCTAGCCGCTTGTTTCGTTCGAATAGTTGGCGATGCACTTCGAAACAGCGTTCGGAGTGGTCCGTGATGGCGAAAGAGAGAGAGAAAGAAAGAAAGAGAGGCAGGCGAGGTGTTGCGTATGCAAACTCCATCGCATCCTTGACGTTCGCTATTCGATTCGAACGAAAGCCCTACGAGAGGAATCAGAGAACATCTTGCGCGAAACTTCGCGACTGTTCGTTGCCAAGTGGTGGTGGTGGTGGTGATGGTGGTGGTGGTGGTGGTGGTGGCGGTGGTGATGGTGGTGGTGGTGATGGTGGTAGTGGTGGTAGTGATGGTTGTTGTCGTATGCATCGACTCTAGTCTGAATTATGCGCAAGAAAGAAACGGCAAACTCGCGGGACTCGGTGGAAGTATCGATCGCGACAGTCTCGGTCGCAAGTCAGACGCGTCCGGGGTCGTGCATTAATCTGTGAGGAAGCGCTTTTTGGTTCGACGAGGGCACACCGCGTTTGTTTTCCTCCATTCGTGCATCGACGAGCCGTGGGATCATACGTGTCGGCTTCTCACACGAGAAGTAACACGCGCGCGACTGTAGAGAAACGTAGAGTTAACATTCGTCTCTACGGTTCTCAGACTTGTGTTAGTAGTCGTTGCTTGAAGCTTGCCTCAGGCGAGACATCCAAGTATTAATAGTCTTTATTTGAAACTTGTCTCATGTGAGATATTTAGATGTTCACTCAGAGTTGGATTCAAGTTTTTCAGTTGAATATAAGGTAAAAGTATCAATTCTCGGACATGTAATCCTGGACATTATTATTGTTTTGGTTTTTAAATACGAATATTTAAACTTTTAACATTTAGAATGTATACGGGATATAACCGTGACTTTGTTAAAAACTTTGAGAGATGATAGAAATGATTAGAACACTTTTTATGTAGGAACTCATATCCGTACTGTTTGGGAGTTGCAAGTCTTAATGTGTGTAGTCAGGTTGCTTTTTGTAATATTGGTAAATCACAACTTTATTTTCGGAGACGATTAAGAGACATGGTAAATTATGATATTTGCTTTTGCCTACGCTTGTGTACGCCTTGATGTTGTGATATTTATAAACATTATTGTCATGCGAAAACAGAACTTTGTTTACAACTGGCATCGAACTCAAAGCCAGTACACTTTGAACATTTGCTATAATGTGTACTGACAGCAATTATAATAAGTTAATTTATATTAATTAAAAGTTCATAATGTAATAATTAAAGGTTTGGGTTATTGTCCTGCAATGTTATTTAGACTGGTTATTATACATATTAAGATTAACTCCCAAATGAAACGTTTCTGGACATGGGTTCCTATATGAAAATTATTTGCATTGAAAGTTCAAATATTCATATTTAAACCAAAACAATAAAAATATCCAGGATTAGATACATGTCTTAAATATTAGCACTTTTACCTTATGTGACATTTATATCTAAACACGATTCAAATAAAAAAACTCATCTAATTTTCAAATTAAAAATCCTCATCTAATTTAAATTTAAATATCTCATTTGAGGCGAGTTTCAAGTAACAACTATTAATATGGCCTTCAGATTTAAATCTAGAAATGGATGTAAGTTTTGAGCTGAATTGCGATTACAAATGTAATATTGTGTATATTATATAGTTCAAGTGAAACTTGAATCTAACTCTAAGAATTGTATTAATATTTGTTACTTGAAACTGTTCTCAAGCAAAATACTTAGATTTGAGTTTAGTGTCAGAATTTTCCAGTTGAATCGCGATTATATAATATCACATGTATTATATAATTCAATTGAAAAATTTGGATCTAACTCTGAATAAAAATCCGAGTATCTCACATGAGACAAGTCCCAAGTGTTAACGGCTCTTAATTCAAAACTGAGTGAGACAAGTTTTAAGTGACGGTTATTAATATAGGCTTCAGTCTTGGAATCCGTGAGCGTTTTAATGTTAATTGCATGGATTGGCTAATTACTGTCAACAGTAAAAGGACAAAATTTACTATGTAAAATTTTGAAATGTATGTTTGCGGATTCTCAAATTGCTGCACGAAGAGAACAAATATTAGTCTTCTTTCAAGCTGCAGACATTATAGTATATATTTTTCGGAAGTCGAAAATGACAATTTAGATTGTTTTGCTCGTTCGCGATCGGACGAGATAGTGAAATTTAAGTGCCGCCTTTGAAGTCGTGCTTCCTCGTTTTTGCGTAAAACGCGCGGTTACTCGTAAAGGGCTCAACAACTCCATAAAATTGTTAACGTGACTTCGTATTAATTATCACGGTCTTTGTCGCGCGATTCTTCGACCACTCGCGAGCAATCTGAGGGGTCGCTGCAATTTTGCTAATAAATCGTCTGTTTCAGTCTAACTCGGTCGAGGCCACTTTTCATTTACGCGCTGTGCGGCGTAATGCAACGTAACTTCGCTGCACTTACCACGAACGACGAAGGGCTTCCTGGTTAACGTTTCCTACTTTAGAAATCCCGCTTCTCACATTTTTTCTACCTCCCATCTCAATTTGTGAGCCGTCACGTCGGTATTCTTTATTGATTCAGCGTCGGAGACTGAATTGAAACGTGACGTTTATTTGTTAAGCACGAAAGGGTTCTCTCTGGGCTCGAGAAATCAGAATTATCTTAGTAGAATAAATATTTTCAATTTTCCAAACGTATATTATTTCTTAATCGACGAATTAGTAAGCCTAGTCAACTTCTATCAGATGCCTGCCAGTAACAGCATGACGTCACATGACGTATTATTGACGTTAGAGACGTCATTAATGCGTCATTAAAACATTATTTGATGTAATCATGTTTGTTGGGTGTATTTCGCTCATCTTATTCTTGCGCTGATCTTGCTTTATAATCGAAGCTTTTGTTCCACGGCTCGCGAGAGCGTTCGCAGCTGTTTGTCGCTTAATTACATCTTCGTGCGACTCTCTTCCGGATAGGAGAGGTTTCAAGTACATTTTGGCTCAGGGATAAGAAGTGTGTCGTATTCAAAGGTGTTACCTGCGACTGAACAGCTGAATGAATATCGTTTACTGACACTTACCCCTCGTCGACGATCTGCGTCGGTGTCGCGCAATGCGATGCGAATCGTAAGACTGATCCACGCAGTATCAAAGTTCCTTGTTAGCGCGCTTTAGAGATCGGAAAACACCCGTCGATCGACACCCTCGGGCTACGTGCTTCTTTCTCGCTTGCTCGACTCAAAAAAATGTTTTGCTGGTCCAGCAGCATTCTAGCAGTATCTGCAAGTGAATTTAAGTAGATCTTTTGTTTTTGGTTGCTAGTCTTTTTTATCTACTACACAGTAAATTCTTACAAGAAGTGTGCTTGGCCCTAATCTGGATGAGCGTCACGGAGAGATCTTCTCGCTAAATTTCATAAACAGTTCAGATAGAAATTTCTCGTGTCTAGATAATTTTTGCTAACCACAAGATCATTTTTTTGAATGCTCGTCGGGCATACTCGGATTTGCTCTTGATTCCTGTACAGAAAAAGCGACGGAGGATTAGTTGAGGAGAGTTGTGCGATACGCGGAGCTTCCATTCGTATCTCGTTAAACAGATTTCTACTCGAGTTTTTACCTAAGTTAATACAAGAAGAGATCGCGTGCGTGTATTTTAAGGGTTGTTCTTTTCACCAACTGAGATATCGCACCTTGCAAGAGAGAGCGCCAGCGTCCGTCTTATTCGGCTAACAGTTGCGGAAGTTGTAGGAAAAATGGCGAGCATTTCCGCGAAACGTATACTATATGAACTATATAAACTATGTGTATATGTAAAATGTATGCTAAGTGAATTATTCCGACCAATTCGTACTTTATTCATCGGAGATCGAGATTCACCGTTGAGCTCGGAGAATTTTCAGATTTTATGTAAACACGTTTTACCGTATCCTCCGATTTCCACAACTGTAGGTCGAACAAACGGACATTTGCTGCTATCTCCTTCGAAGTGTGGAACTTATACCTAACTTCACAATAGGACACTATTCGACGCGCGCGATTTTCACGTCTCTCTCTATACGAATAAAATTGCATATCACTGACCGAATCTCAGGAGAAGCGGATTAATATTAACGGAACACGACGCGCGGAAGTCAGAAATTACGTAGCCGCGAATCTAGACCGATTTGAATCTCACTTTGTTGTCGATCGTCGACGTCGTTTTACCTAAGAGAGAGAGAGAGAGAGAGAGAGAGAGAGAGAGAGAGAGAGAGAGAGAGAGAGAGAGAGAGA